GGAGGTTTAGCGTTTCAAAACATTTATGGAGGGGGATGGGGCGAAGAATTGGACTTCACAGGTTTCTCCGCCATCTCTTTCCGGGGGAGGGGATGTGATTAATGACTTCCTAAATAAGAGCCCAGTTTTCAAGCCTAACATTGGAGTGAACCTCAGGCAGCGGCGATTGTTCCCCAGGAGCGTGGGGGAGAGAGAGAGGGAGGGAGGGAGGAAGGGGGGGGAGGAGGAGGAGGAGGAGGAGGACTGACAGAGAAAAGGATTTGCTGGAGAGGAGGAAGGCGGAAAAAAAAAAGCCGGAGGAAGAAGACAAAGAGGGGAGGAATAACGCTGAGCGGGGGCTGGTGTTTTAAGCCCTCAGTGCCCGCGGGAGGGGGGATCCCACTCGGAAGAGGAAGGTTCCGTGTAACGGGCTCGGTCCGAAGGCGCTCCCCCTCCCCCGGCTCCCGCAGGTAGGCGGCTGCCGACCCGCCCGCACGCCCCTGCTGCTGCCGCTTATTTTAAAAACATATTTTAGCAACCCAACACCTCCCACCCCCCATTAGGTGAGATTCCGTTTTATTTTCCATTTGTCCTGCCCCCTTCAGTGTAAAGGTACTGATCAAACATCAGAGTTTTGCCTTTTCTGCTCCCACCGCCCCCGACTCCCGCATCACCTCGCTTTACATCCAGGGTTGTGTAACCTTTAAAAGTTGCCCGTACCTTGTTAAAACCTGAGCTCCATTACTTTCTTATTAAACCCCCTCCCTCCCCCCGCCCCCGGCATCCTCTCTTATCCCAAGGACACCCGCAAACAAAAGGCAAAGGAAGGAGGATCCCCGCAGAACCCCAACCCGAGGGGTGGCTGAATTTGCAAAGCACTTGCTGTTGTTTTGGAAGTGGCGTCGATCAGTCTGCCCAATTAAGGGGGACGCCTTTGCCCCGATGGGCCTGTTTACTCCTTTTGTTGCCTTTCAGGAAAGCGTAAATTCCCCTGCTAGCGCCTTTTTCTTTTTTTTTCCTTTTTTTTTTTTTTCCTTCTGTGTGAAATACCAAGGTGCTCGGTTTGACCGTTTGAGAGAAAAGAAGCGAGGGTGGGCAAAAGCGTACAAACACAAGCAGCCCGGCAAGTGGAGCAGAAGCTTTAAATCCTGAAATTCCTTTGCAGTCTTCAACCGTAAATTTCCTATAGGTTATTTCAACAGTGGAGGTCGACTTCCTACACTGACCTGCCCTATGCATTCGTGCAACATACCACTTCTTTTTGCTCCTAACCACCCCACCCCCCCTTTACAATAGCGATTATTTTACAATATTAAATCACCAGTAATTTTATATGCTTGGATCTTATGACCCGGACGATATCTAATATATAACAAATGTATGAGATTTTAACACACGTGAAACCTCAGCTATAAACAAGAAATTAAGGCTACCGGAAGAAAAAGAACTGCTTACACCACTCACTTGAAGTGGCCAAGGTTACATTTCTTCTAACAGAATGGCACATTTATAAAATACAAGCTCTCCCTGTCCCTCCCTTGGAGAAGACAGAAAGTATTCTGTTTAATACCGTTTTAAGAGTCTTTTTTTTTTTTTTTCCTTTCAGATTGATTTATTCTACCGACATTTGGTATTAAAATTCCTTAGAGGTTAGAATATTGGTTAAACAGACAGAAATGAGTTGATTGAGTTCATTAAATGGAAAAAAAAAAAAGTCTTGTTAGCAAATTTCAGTTAAAAGAAAATTCAATGTAATATGTTCTTCCATGAACAAATGAGAGACTACAAACCCACGTAAATAAATGAAGGTATCAATATATTTGTTGCAAAGCATTTAATATATTGCAAAATAAATGCAGATTTTGTAAAAGGGGGGGGGGGGGAATTTGCAAAGGGTCTTTACTGAGATTTTCAGGCCTCCAGTATTAGTGGAATTAAGGTTGGGGTCACTGGACTGGTCACTGGTGTCAGATGTTATCGACTCATTCATTTCCTGCAAGGGACATCAGCCTTTCAAGTTTTGTGGAAGGTAGAGAGCTGTTGCCAGCTGGGAACTCTCCGGAAAAAAAAAAAAAAAAAAAAAAAAAAAA